ACATATGAGGGTGTCATTTTATAGTGTTAATAAATTGCAAGAATTTATTAGCATGCATAAGGACCCCTTACCGCGTGATAAGAAGTCGGAGGTTGTTTATAAGATTTCGTGCAAGAGCTGCGACGCGAGTTATGTGGAACAGACGTGTAAACAACTGAAGTCAAGAATCACGGAACATAAGAATCACATCCAATGGAACACGTCTGCTCGTAATGTTATAACGGAACATCGGTTGCAAGAGGGACATGATTTTTACTGGGACAGCGTTGCAATATTGGACGAGGAACCTCACTACAGGAAGAGACTGATTTCGGAGATGATATTCATCAGAAGAAAAACACATGGACTCAACCTGCAGACGGATATGGAGGGGCTTTCGAAGGCCTACCTTCCGATTATAGATAAACTACAAAAGCTCGAGTTGTTGTCACGTCTTGTCAGTCGGTGTCGCTCGTACACAGTAATAAGTCCTTCGGACGAAATTTTTTTTTTTATCACTTTACAATTTTCATTAGTACTAGCTAATAACTAAAAAGTGACTCACTGTGTCTGATACCGACTGGCCAACATATCAGGAATCGGTTCTTGAATTATTCATGATAATGTTTGCGATACGGTACCTTGTAATTGTGGTGAGCGTCCCTATTTTCGGGATAATTAATTATATTATTAAAGTTTTTTGATCAATTAGTTTCTATATTCTTTAATTTGACATTTTTAATATTTCCCTTCTTTTTCATTTTCTTTTCTTTCTTTTTATTTAATTCTGGCATTGAAATTCTCGATGTACGGGAGCTCACCATGACAGGATAACTTTTACTTTATATATGTTAATGTGTGTTTGCTTTGAGGAAGGCTCAAAAATGAGTCAAAACATGTATGAATAAAGAAGTTTCATTCTTTATAAGTGTATTATTTGCGCGACGTCTTCTGCGCCCGTCTCCTAGTGCCCTTACTCTTTCCAATTCTTTGATTTGTAAGGAGTCTTGATTAGTTTGATTTATTAACGGATTCTTGTTTTCTGTTACTGTTTTTTATCTCTTTGCTTTCTGCCTCCTATATTTTTATTTTCTGGTTGTGTCCTAAATAGATAAAAGTTGTTCAAACAAATTTCGAAAGGAACAAGAAATACCTTATCATTGGGCGCATTCAACGGACTCAACAGTTGAGTGAGCGCTCACTGTTATTGGTGTATTCTTTTAGCTCATCCAATCAGAATTTTAGACTTAGAAGAATACATCAATAGCAGCAATTCAACTGTTGAATCCGCTGAAGGCGCCCATTGGTTGTTGATCAAAACAGTCGCAAAGAGGAAAAAAGGCAAGACGTAAAAAGTAAAAAACAGAAAATAAAAATACATTGTAGATTAGGCTAAAATTAAAAAGGAATATTTCCAAATAACATGCCTGTTGCACAAGATATCTAAAAGACATTTTTAAACATTTTTTTAGACATGATATATAAAAGTCTTTTAGATATCTTATGCAATATAAATGTTATCTGAGTTCTAAATAGAGAATGTAAAATCTATAATGATATATGAAGAAAGTTTGTGACATTTCGATCTGTGCACCGTCCACTGCATCCCTTGCAGATTATTGTTGATTAACGCACGTATATACGCTATCACTCACATTACTGTTATAATACATGGCTTAGACTTTTTATTTATCAATAAATTATAAAATAATATCTATAAGACAAAAATCATGTCTTTTGTGTTTATGAGCCTCGATCATTTTTTGTATAATCTTATGATTATACAAATTTGAACGAAAAGTGAGATAAAGAATAATTTTCATTTACAATCGAGATATTAGTGATTAATATAAATGCGATTAATAATATGTACATGTATGATAAATGCTTAAAAATTGCAGTCTTCCGTTAGTTATTTTGATATAGCCAATTATTGCATGTAGTTATACGCATGGTTCGACGTAATTTCCTGGGAACAATCCAGTTATACCGTCCATTACCCCCTCCCACCATCCGTCATCATTTTTCTTGAGCACGTAGATCACAGAACTCTCTTGAAAGCTTAGCTCGTCTTCTTTATCTGCGTAATAATCATAAATAGCCACCACTGCAATTGAAATTTTTACATTATTATATATTGTGTTACTAATATTATATATAATATATAATATATAATATATATCTTATTATATTATCCATTTTACACATCAATTAATTTATTAAATGTTTAACAATACAACAGACAAAACTAATTCTGAGATTCTACCTTTCTCGATATAATTCTTTGGCACCCATCCGGGCAGATCTTCCTCATCCGGCACGATTGGCATTATAGCACCAGATGGGGTTGGTCTGCCAAATTGCGGATGTTCCTCTTGCTCTGGTGGTGGTGGCGGTGGTAAAGGTGGACTATTTGCACCGCTACCACGGCTAATTTGATGCGATAATCTGTGCGGCAAGGTGTGATGGCCGGTATATTCAGACATATCGCCTAGCCCAACCAAAGGCGAAGGTGGAGCTGAGATGGCAAAAAAAGTATCAGTATCTCACAACAAATCATGAGATCAAACATTAAAATGAGTATATCTTTATTATTTATAGTATGAATACAGCTTCATTATCAATATCATTATTAATTATAATATTGTTACTTACGAGGCATACTGTTATGCTGCTCCTGCACATAACCCGCGGTAACGCTGGGCGGTGCTGGAGGTGGCGTTTGAGGATGATTCTGCAAGGGATGAACCGTTCCCACTTGCGGCATAGTGTGTTGATTGATGGTATTGGCATGCGCGTTATGATTGGTATTATGACTCGTGTGGGACGTGTTATGAGCATGCAATGGTAGAGTGCTATATCCCGGGCGATCTCGCCTGGGATGGCCGAGCGGATAGTTGGGCGCGTAGTGGCTAGGAACTTGAGGTGGGGCTACCGCTGGCGGAGTCCTATATTCGCGCGATCCTTTACTCAATGTTCCTATACACAAAGAATGTTGCGGATCATTATTCAATGTATTAATAAGATTACTACATGTAACATCAAATGTGACAGATAGAATAGTGTAACATTTAGAAGCCAAAAGAAAGAAAAGACACACATGCAAGCAAGAAGCAGTAAATACCTTTGCGTTAGCGAAATGATTTTAATTTTTTTATAACCGCAACTGAAAAAGTACACCTTTACAAGTTTGTGTAGCACTCGTACAATTCTTAGCGCTTACGTAGGGTGTCCCAGAGCATTCCTGGGACACCCTGTGCATACAGAATGTTTTTATATAACTACAGATTGTTCTCTGTAAATGATGTGGGGATAAGAAAAATTTTTCTGTTTGTAGCAACAACTGCCAAACATTCTGTATGTATATTATATATATTTGTATATGTACAATTCTTACCAGTTCTCACTGTTTGAGGTGGTGTGGGTGGTTTGGTAGTAGGAGCGGGTCCTACCATCGCAGCACCTAATCCAGAACCTGTGGAAGTAGCTCCTAAACTCTGAACGCTGCCTTGACTACCTCCTCTCTGTTTGCTTCGCGGCGTACCGCAGCTACGTACACCATGTCCAATTTCATCTAGGATTGTGTAATCAATGCTCTTTCTGACATACTTAATCGGTTTCTCAGGATTGGCAGGAGCGATGATTTTATACTGGCGAGTCGTCATCTTGTTGGCCGTCAAGACGCCTATTTCCCTTCTTGCCACCTTTTCTTTGTGAATCATGACTGTCTGTGCGATGTGATTCATTTGGCTTTCCATCTCAGCAAGCTGGGACGTCTGCAGGTCCAGCAGTTGAAGAAAATTGTACGCCAGTGTGTTTATTTGATATGCAACGCTGGCTAAGGACTGTGTGGTATAATTCTTTGTTTCCTCCAGTGCAATCCTCTTGTTTTCTGCTTGGAAATAATTGGCTTCGCAATATTCTGCCACTCTCTCCAGATTCGTGTGGCTGTCGGCCAGATTGTTCCTACCCTCAGGAATCTCATGTCGCAGGAGTGCCGCTAATTCTGCCATGACTTCGGAATCACTACCCACTCCTGACGATACGCAATAAGATCCTGATCCTTCTTAAAGGCAAGAGAAAAAAAAGATACAAATATTACACGTGGAAGAACACCATAAGTAAAAATTAAATTAGTCTCGTAAAGCACAATATGTTACAAGAATAAAATATAAAGTAAAGCGATCACGAAGCCGAAAGTATATTCAATGACGGTTTTATAGCTCCCGACAGTTGCTCTATTCCCGTAAAGTAGGATCACTGCAATCGTTTTCGAGATGGAAGATATGTTAATTTCCAACAATGAGAACTTGGCACCTTGTTCACGAAGCAAGAGATAGTCGAGAGGGTAGAAAATTAGATTATGACAGGGGCGGCGTCTGAAGGGAAATAGGAAACAAGATGGACAGACCGATACATGCACGCACGCACGCACACGTACACAACACCGCCTGATCAGTACGAAGTGTTCCCAATTGACGCGACGACGGTGCGTAACAACGATCTAGAGATTAAAAAAAAGTAGAAAATCAACTAACGGTACTCAGCCATTATTTGCAACTACCAGCTACTAGCAGCCTCATTAATTCATAATTACCGAGCTCCCGAAATTCATGTAAAAAGAGCGTACGGAGATATGAAACTGTATGAAACAGTATAAAATGGCCGCGACACGTGCGCGCGCGAGCGATGTACATACAGTATGTGCAGTGATGCACAATCGAGTCGCTGCGATGCATCGCACAGTCGCGATACAATCGATATCGTCGAGTCCGTTTTTTTTTTGCAACTGCAATCTGCGGGTTTTTTCCGGATCGACGGCGATATCTAAATGTATATTTGTCGTGATTCAAAAAATTAATGTTATATTCTAAATTAAAACTAAATTTTAACGCGTGAATTTCTACAAGATCGCTGCGGTGATTGGCGGATCTCGAACGAGGACCGCGGTCACGTGACTGGATGTATCGCGGCGTGACTGAATGAATCGATTGCGACGCTCGCGAGATATCGTGCGAATTACAAACGTAACGCCACTTATATCATAAATACATCATGATTTCGGCTCGATGTCTGAACGCTGCGCATTTCAGTGCACTGTAGGTGTTTTACGTGATTTTACAGAAGATATGGATTCTCCTGTGCACCTGTGAGTGTCTCCGGTTCGCAGTTCGAGTCCGGTGCGGCAATCGTGTCCGTCCGCTCGTGTTCTGCGTCCACGTCCGCTCTAACTTCATCGCATTGCATTCGCCGTGGGCGACCGATCGACGGACATCCAGGACATCTGAGCCGGTTGCAGGTTGCAGTCTTAATAACGATTCTTCCGACAACGGGTACGCGGCAACGCACCCTCATGCCGAGATCGTCGCGATTCCCCTAGTCAGCGAATCGTTCTCGCGGAATCTGCGTTGTAATCGATCGTCATGGAATTTAAGATGGTCCACCCACTGTTTGCAGATCAGCCAACTTGGCAACCAACAGCAGCTCGAGGGTTTTGAGTCTTGCCTGGCAGAATGGTCTCCAAATGGTCGAGGCAGTCGATTGTTCTGAAAAGTGGCCCACAAAATAATATCCGCTTAAAAAAAGCCTAGAGAGATTGACTTACGGAAGTGCGAGGACATATCACTTGATTGGTTTTGATATCCGCAAGAATGGACAATCTGCTGAAAGAGCTGGAGGCTCTGAAAATTAGGGGTGATTTCTTCGAGGATAATTCCTCGTGGACACCATGCGTAGACTTGATTCAGAAGAGTTTTGTACCGCAAAGAACAGTCGGGGTAGAGCGTCCGTGTGAGGAGAAAGATTTTAGAGAATATAGGCTCGTTGTAGAAAGAAACTTGCATAACGTCAGGTCTATGCTACTACATATTTCTAGCAGAAGAATTTCCAGGGAGAGACACTTTCAGCTGAGCAATGCCACAGGGATGGTTAGAACGTTTGGTATGAATCTATTGCTGCTCATTGGAGAACATAGCGAAAAGAATATTTGGAACACAGCTGAGTGTGTTTCTATTTCCAAAGAATTACTTGCTAGTTTCTGTGACCTGTACGTCTGCCAAAGTATTTCCCAATTTTTGTCAGAGAATGAGAATTTGCGTAACTTGTTGCTGATGTTAAGACCTAAATTATTAAAAGATACCTGGAAAACTTATCCATCAGCAGTAGCATGTTATAGATGGTTTTTGCAAGAGACAGAAGTAAGTCCAGTTTTATTTAGATCTTATACAGTTTATTACTATATTATACAGTTTATTAATTATATAGTTTATAGTTATTGAAAGATGGATGAAGATCTGGAATTTTCAGATTTTTTTACCTTTAAAAATAAAGGATTTTTATGAAATTTTATCGAGAGTCGGAAGAATTTTTGGAATTTTATTTTTAAATTTAAATTCTGTCATTTTTTTGAAAATTGTTTCTTTAATCGTTTTTCCTTGATGCAAAAAAATGCAAAATATTGATAATTATTTAATAAGTATGATATACACATATTTATATATATACATATCCATATATTCATGTATACTCTCTAAATCCGAATCAGTGGATAATCACTGATATCAGTGCCAAGTATGCCATTATTCACTAATCATCCAGTGACGTATTTGGCACTGGATAATCAGTGAAGTTCAATTAAAAAAAAAGAAGGTTCGAGCATTATATATCCTAAAATATTGATATTTATATGTTATTTTCTAATACTATTTTCATTGAATTTATGCACTAAAATAAGATTAATTATATCACATAATAAAGGTTAGCTAAGTTAGGAATTTCACATTTCACTCACTGATTACCAGTGGCATACTTGGCACTGATAATCAGTGATTATCCACTGGTTCAGATTTAGAGAGTACTCTTATTAAAAATATAAATCTTAAAAAAATGAAGATAACAATAAAAAAGAAAATATTGAACAGCTTTATACTGTGACGAATTTTTCTTATATTGTTTTATTGGTTTTATTGGTCACTGTTTCAATTGTAAAAAAATGTAATCTCAGTCTCATGGAATTCCTGTTTTTTGCCAATTTTTAATGTATAGTTTATTTTGTATTGCTTGCAATCTAATTTATTTCAAAGTAGCATTAAAAGGTTTTCTAGTCTCTTATCTGGAATTTTGAATAAAAATATCTTGAAAAGGAAATTCTGTTACAACACTAAACATCCTATTTTGTTTATATGTAATTAATATATGTATACATATAATTTTGATTATATATATATTTTTTTTCTTTTACAGAAACCAGTTTTATTTAATTATATCGGAGATGTCTTGCCAACTGCATTAATTATTCTTGATGACTATTTTCCCGATAATGTATTAATAGGCCTGGAATGTATTTATCAGATTATTCAGCATTCTTATATGGTATATATATATAATTTATTCTCACGCACATATAGTGTATCTTAATATACTATCAAGGAATTGGAAAGAATAAAGACACTAGGAGTCAGGTGCAGAAGACGTTGCGCAAATAATACACCTATGAAGCGTGAAACTTCTTTATGCACTAAACGTGCTTACATGTTTTGGCTCACTTTTGAGCCTTCCTCAGAGATAACATAAACTAACATATATATAAACAGTGAATAAAAGTTATTCTGTCATGGTGAGCTCCCCTACATCGAGAATTTAAATGTCGGAATTAAAACCAAAAAGAGTGAAAGAAAAAGGAAAAAGAAAAATAGAAAAATAATTAGGAAATATCGAAAAATAGTATATGGGAAACTAATTTATCAAACAACTTTAAGATTATAATTAATTATCCAGCAAATAAGGACGCTCACCATGTTCACAGCACCATATCGCAAACATTACTATAAAAATAATTCAAGAACCTCCTGCTAATGTTGGCCAGTCAATATTAAACATAGTGAGTCATTTTTTGTTTTTTAGCTAGTAATTTTTCGAGATAACAAATGAAAAAATGTAACATTAAAGTGTTAATCAATTCCAAGAAAAAGTTGGAAAGTAATCGATAAACACGCCAGAAAGACTCATTACTGCGTACAAACAACATAGTCAGTCAGTGTTGCTCGTACGCAGTAATTAGTTATTGACGTGTTTATCGATTACTTTCCAACGTTCTTTTTCTTGGAATTGATTGACGGTTTAATGTTACATTTTTCCATTTGTTATCTCAGAAAATTACTAGCTAAAAAACCAAAAATGACTCACTGTCCGATACTGACTGGCTGACATTAGCAGGAGCCGGTTCTTGAATTATTATTTTTATAGTAATGTTTGCGATATGGTGCTCTGTGAGCATGGTGAGAGTCCTTATATTTACTGGATAATTAATTATAATCTTAAAGTTGTTTGATAAATTAGTTCTCTATATACTATTTTTCGATATTTTCTAATTTCTTTTCTTTTTTTCTTTTTCCTTTTTCTTTATTTTTGGTTTTAATTCCGACATTTAAATTCTCGATGTAGGGGAGCTCACTATGACAGGATAACTTTTATTCACAGTTTATATATGTTAGTTTATGTTGTCCCTGAAGAAGGCTCAAAAGTGAGCCGAAACATGTAAGCGCATTTAGTGAATAAAGAAATTTCACGCTTCATAAGTGTATTATTTACGCGACGTCTTCTGCGCCTGACTCCTAGTGTCCTTATTCTTTCCAATTCTTTGATTTATGAGGAGTCTTGGTTAGTTTGATTTGTTATACGGATTTAATATACTATATTTTATATATACCTAATATATGTATTCACTTAACACATATTTTAGAAAAAAGGACTGATAGATTCTGGCTATGCTAAACTGATTTATCACGCCTTGCAACTTTTAACTCATCAAAAGGAAGCAAAATACATTATTCCTTTGTATTCCTGTATGGCCAGTCTTTTAGCTACTATGGAACATTGGGATAATACTATAAATCTATTTGAGGTAATGCTACTCACAAGATTATCAGAAATCAGTATTCAGTCTTGAAATTATAATTTTCTTTTGCAGTGGACAACACGTGATGAAGTTCTCTCAACTTTGATAGAGAACATGGAATTTGAACAGAATATTGAATTACGGCATGTATATATGTTGAGTTTACCTCAACTCATTACAAATATAGGCTGTGCCAAATGGTGTGGAGCGCTCATTCGCATACTTACCGAGTACTGCGAACATCACACAGATTTAAGGACGTTAAAGGCGACATTGGAGGTATAATCTTAAAATATCATAATACGCCATACAATATAAAATAAATAAAACAGATATTAATTTCAGTTTATATTTTCTTTATATTTAGATGGCAAAGACGTTCCTCTTGATGTTTCGTCTGCGAGTAGCTGCACATTGTGCCCCACTTTATACTGTATTCTTGAAGTTGCATTTTGATCTGACGGAGACACCGGTGTTCGATCGAGCTATCATGCAAAATCTGGAAGATTGCATTTGCATGTTGTACCAGCTATCACCGAATGTAGGCTATACGGTAATTAATGACGATCGAATGCGTTCGGTGCTCAACAGTAGTTTGCTGGTCGTATGCCAGGGTGGTGATATTAAATATTTCGAATAATTTATGAAATGTGCGACAGTCGCACGTATTTGTATATACAGTGTATTCTATATAATGTGTGTGGAAAAAATGCGTTGATAGAAATATTATATTCTCGTGCAAACTTCTAGTTCAGAGATAAAAGTGAAACGTATTAGGTACTTAGATATTTTTCCATACTTTTTCCCCACCCTGTATATATATATATGCGATTGCAAAAAAATCGTATCTACGAGATTGCGTATACAACTTTTTGATTGATGGATTGATGATATAATTTGTGACTAATAATAAAATAAATTGTTGAATAATTATTGTGTAATAGCTGAAGAAGTTACATATAGAGGCTAGCAATTCTCTTCATACAACTTAGAAAACTCAATAGATTTTCTTTTAAATTTGAAGAATGGAAAGTAAAAGAATCGATCTATTTGTAAATCCCAATTGACCGACTATTTAGTGAATACGGTTGATAAAATAATTTAAAAGTGCACGTGGAAGATAATTCTGATAAATAGAAAAAGCCGATTCCTTTTTCTGTGAAATTTTTTTTTATTGTTACTGTATCTAATATTACGATTTTATCCTATGTTTGTTTTTAGATAAATCAAATATTTTTCAAAAGCTCACAATAAAAAGCTTAAATTATACAATTTAATTTCATCATACTTGTTTTTCAGAACTATACAGCATTTATTTCATTGACGTTACGATATATACAACAAATCATCACGTTAGATTTATCTTTCTTTAATCATCGTTGTTATATTATGTTAGGATTATGTTCGCTTTTTTTTTTAATTAAACATTTAATCATTATTTCTGTTTTTTTAGCACAAGTAAGATCGTAGGTTAAAAGATACGCCTTAGTCAAAGTGCAAATGTTATTTTCTAATTATAGACAATTACGTCTTTAATTGCTATAGGGAGAAAATTACCTTAGGAATTTTATTTATTATTTTATGGATTTATTATTCTTAAATTGCATAATTTAATAGTACTTGGTGTTGGAGGAAAAACATTAGATTGTGACGTCAATTATATCTTTCTCTCTTTCATCGTAGCAATTTATATCTCTGTATCTGTTGATTACGCAAACTGACGAGATTTATAAAATTTCGTTCGTTTCGTGAAGCGTTCATTTGATATCTACTGTTTGATCTGTTCAAATCATGTCGTCATTCTTAATCGTGATATTTATGCTTCTTGTGGTATATAAACTATACAAGTTTGCTTATGATAAACCGCCTAATACACCTCCAGGTAAAATAAAATTTGAATTGTATAAAATATTATAAACTAGTGTTAATTTTTATTTTTTTCAATCTCCGTTATAGAATATCAAATCACGATACACTTTTATTATTAGCCATTAAATATTTTCTCTAACTTCTCTTTTTTTACGAAGAAACACAGGAAAACGTCCTTCAATTTTGGTAAGTTTTTAATATGTAGTCCAGAAAATAAGTGATACATATATTTTTTATACATGCTCATATACTTTTAGCAAGTAAAACACCCAATCAATTAGTTTTTTTTTCGAAGCGAACATCGTCGAAACTATAAGAAATGGAAAAAAACATTTCTTTAATAAAAGTAGAATAATTTCAAGATTTACCATTTATATTAATGATAAAAATTTTTTTTCATCCTTTTTGACGATATTCGCTTAGAAAAAAATAACTGATTTTCTTTAAAGAGGTGTATCACCTTCCAAAAGTGCATACAGCATGTATAAAAAAATACGTGTCCCTTATTTTATAACATATTAAAAACTTATAAAAATCGGAAGGAAACGTTTTCATATTAATTTCTTGTCAGAAATCCTGTCTATATCCACAGATATACTTAATCTACAGTCTCTCTAATTTAAAAATAGTTTTATCATATTTTATTTCTTTATACTCTTATCTTTGACGTCAAATATAAGTAAATGTGACGTCAAATTCTAAATTATTTATAATAGATCTTAATGTTGGAACTTATATTTGAGATAGGCATTATCAGAATTCCGATAGGAGGATCTTACTGGATGTTGTTATGGGGAAACTACAAATTTCCATATTTAACTATCGATTATTATGTGAAGAAATTAAAGTCAAAGATTATCAGTTGCTACATGGGTGATAATTTTATAATAATAGTGAACGATTACAAAAGCATAAAAGAAGTACTTTCAAGAGAGGAATTTGATGGCCGAATTACTACAGCGCAGTATTTAAAGGATCGAGCTTTCGGAAAGGAATTAGGTAATGAAAAATATAATTATGTGTACTATTAAGACTTTAGAATGACCGTACATATGAATACATCAGATAAGATTGATAAACTTTCGAACTTTCAACACAATCAATCTGAAACGCTATAGAATGACCGTACATATGAATACATCAGATAAGATTGATAAACTTTCGAACTTTCAACACAATCTGAAACGCTGATCCCCCCCTCCTAAGTTAAATTAGAAAAACTGTAAAGAACATATTGTACCCTTCGAAATTAGTCCCAGCTTCGAATCCTGGCTGAGATAATATTTTTCGCAATAAGTTCTTTACAGTTTTTCTAATTTAATTTGCGGATTCAAATTGATTGTGTTGAAAGTCCAAAAGTTATCGGTGCTTAATCTTATCTGAAATAAAATTAATTGAAAACAAAGAGGTAAATAATAGACAGCGCGATCCGTGTTTAAGTAATATTTACGTGTGATCGACAATAAAGAGAGATAGCCCTTACGAAAAAAACTCTTAAAATTTGAGTGTTTACACTTCAATAAACACTGAAAAAATACACTCAAGGTAACACTCAATTAATGATTATTTTGGACGCTCAAC